GTCAGTTTCTGGTCAATGATAACTCCCAGGATGTTGATTGTGGGGGCATTCAACAATAGTAATACCATCAAATGTGAAGGTTAGATTCTGTCTTGTTGGAGATGGTCATTGTGTGGCGCGAACGTTACTTGCCGATTATCGGTCCAAGTCGGAATTGTTGTTCAGATCATGCTGCATATGAACATAAAAGGTATCACAAATGCTTTTGAAAACTTTGCAATCATCAACAAACATCCTCACTTCTGAACTTATGATGGAGGGAACATCATTGATGAAACAGCTGAAAATATTCGGTCTAGGACACTACCAGGAGGAACTGTTGCAGTGATATTCTGGGGCTAAGGGGATTGACCTCCAACAACCACGGTCGCCTTTCCTTGTGATGACACCTTCCGTCTCTTTGCTAATGATGAAGAGTCGGCTAGTAGACATTGGCTGGGCTGGATTTGTTCTGCTTTTTGTATGCAGGATATACCTGGAACATTTCCTACATTATCAGGTGGATTCTCGTACCTGTTACCATGTCATGATTTGTCCCATCTCAAGATGTCATGTTGAATAAATTTCTGAACTAGTCTCTATAGGACATTGTGCCAAGAGCATTGCTGAAATGCAAGTATGCCTCTTACACAATCTCACAATTTTGCTTTTATTTTAAAGTTTTTAAATTACTTTGTCATCGATTTCCCATTTATCTCTGATGATCCTAAGCAATTAAATTAAATTATTTTAAGCATTCACTATTATGCCTTTGATAATAGATTTAAAGATTTTTCTCTCATTCTGACTTGGAACTAATTGATCTTTGGTTGATACAAAAATGAAAAACTGCAGGTGTTGGAAATTTTGAAATAAAATTAGACAGTGGGGAAATACTCAGCAGGTCTGGCAACCTCTACAGAGAGAGAAAAATGCATTAAACAATAGGTCTGTTTCTCTCTGCCCAGAGTATTTCTAACATTTCATGATCTTTTAGTTAACCAAATTCTAATCCCCAACACAAACTACTCCTCCTCCCACCCACCTTCCTGCAAAAATGCTATCCCCTATTCCCAATTCCTTCGCCTCCGCCGCATCTGCTCCCAGGATGAGGCATTCCACTCCCATACATCTCAGTTGTCCTCATTTTTCAAGGACCGTAACTTCCCCCCCTCAGTGGTCGAGAACACCCTCAACCGTGTCTCCCACATCTCCCGCAACTCATCCCTCACACCCCGTCCACGCAATAAGAACCAAAAAAGAATCCCCCTCGTCCTCACGTACCACCCCACCCACCTCCGGATCCAATGCATCATCCTCCGACACTTCCGCCATCTGCAATCCGACCCCACCACCAAAGACATCTTTCCCTCCCCGCCCTTATCTGCTTTCCGGAGGGACCACTCTCTCCATGACTCCCTTGTCCGGTCCACACTCCCCTCCAGCCCCACCACACCTGGCACTTTTCCCTGCAACCGCAGGAAGTGCTACACCTGCCCCCATACCTCCTCCCTCACCCCCATCCCAGGCCCCAAGAAGACTTTCCACATCAAGCAGATGTTCACCTGCACATCTGCCAATGTGGTATACTGCATCCGCTGTGGCTTCCTCTACATCGGGGAAACCAAGCGGAGGCTTGGGGACCGCTTTGCAGAACACCTACGCTCGGTTCACAATAAACAACTGCACCTCCCCGTCGCGAACCATTTCAACTCCCCCCTCCCATTCCTCAGACGACATGTCCATCCTGGGCCTCCTGCAGTGCCACAACAATGCCACCCGAAGGTTGCAGGAACAGCAACTCATATTCCGTTTGGGAACCCTGCAGCCCAATGGTATCAATGTGGATTTCACAAGCTTCAAAATCTCCCCTCCCTCTACCACATCCCAAAACCAGCTCGTCCCTGCCTCCCTAACCAGTTCTTCCTCCCACCTATCCCCTCCTCCCACCTCAAGCCGCACCCCCATCTCCTACCGACTAACCTCATCCCGCCCCCTTGACCTGTCCGTCCTCCCTGGACTGACCTATCCCCTCCCTAACTCCCCACCTACACTCACCTTTACTGGCTCCATCCCCGCCTCTTCGACCTGTTTGTTTCCTCTCCACCTATCCTCTCCTCTATCCATCTTCTATCTGCCTCCCACTCTCTCCCTATTTATTTCAGAACCCCCTTCCCCTCCCACTTTTCTGATGAAGGGTCTAGGCCCGAAACGTCAGCCTTTCTGCTCCTATGATGCTGCTTGGCCTGCTGTTTTCATCCAGCCCTGCACCTTGTTGTCACAAACACAATTCATCCTTTGTGCTCACTAGAAGGAAACATAAAACTGTTCTAATATGAGAAATGCCCTTTATTAATTCCAATCTTAAATAGCTAAGTATTATTATCTTGTCTAACTGACATGCATTATCCTCTGTCAATTTCACTCCCATTTAGATCAGTAAGTAATAGCAGGAAATAAATATCTTCTATTTATATAGCACCTTTTCACAACCTTAGGCTCTCCCAAAATACTTTACAGGCAGCTTGAAGTATAGTCACTATTCAAATTTAGGAAACATTGTAAATGTGTTTAATTAACCAAACTCAACCTGGCAGCAATATGGATGCTACAGGAACAATGGGCCCAATGGCCTCCCAATATGCTGTAAGATTATATTACGATTACCCAAAATTCCCTTTGCATAGAGAGAAATCAGCATCTGGGAAATCAGATAAGGACTCCAATCCTAATTGCATATCTGGTAATCCTTTCCAGAAAGGTTTCTGATGTGGGTGCTCAACAGTGTCAGCAAGCACAGCCTTGCAAATAAGGGTGAGAATAGGATTGGGTTGTGATGAACATTATGATAGAATAGCCAATGCCACTGAGGTACCAGAAAGAGACTTTCACCAACATAGATAACATCTTCATGAGGGAACAAAAATTAAAAACAATATGTCATCAATGGTTGACACCATTTTCTACCAGGCATTTATTTGCTTTCCAGCATTAACATTGAGTTTAGACTTTAGATTTTAAATGCCAGTCCCATTTTCATCTCCTATATTATGTAATATGTTCTTTAATTTCTTGCTAGTTTGCTTTCATATTCTATTTCTCCTTTTAATTACTTTCCTGGTAATGCTTTGCTGATTTTTAAAATGTACTCTATTATCAGGCTTGCTTTGTTTTTGACCATACTGTTAGTCTCTTCTTTCAATCTCACACCATCCTTCTTTACTCTCGCTAGCCACAGTTGGACCACTTTCCAATGGAGTTTTCGTTAGTTAAGGAAATGTAAATTCATAGGCAACAATGAGGTATTTTGCTAGAAGTTTGTCATTGCTTATCAAACATTATATCCTGCAATCTAGTCACCAGTCAACCAGGTAATTCACCTTTCATACCTCCATAACTGGCTTTGTTTCAATTTAAGATCCTAGTTACTGACTTAACTACATCATACACAAATGTAATATGAAATTCTTACATCATTCAAACCCACAGGTTACTGTAATATAGGTTTATTAATTAATCCTGTCTGATTGCACAATACTAGGATGTACATGCATTGGAGGCAGTTCGTCAAAGGTTTGCTAGATTGATATGAGCAGGTTGTATTGTGGGAGTGTTGAACAGACTGGACTTGTTTTCCCTGGAGTTTAGAAAAGTAAGTGGTGACTTGATTGAAGTTTGTAAGATCCTGAACTGTCTTGACAAGATGATGTGGAGATTATGTTTCCTTTCGTGGGAGAGTTCAGAACTAGGGGGCACTATTTTAGATTTAGAGATCGCCCTTTCAGGACAGAGATGAGTTTTTTTCTCTCCGTGTGTTGTACAACTTTGGAACTCTCTACCACATTAGGCAATGGAGGTAGGGTCATTGAATATCTTTAAGCTGGAGGTAGATTGATTTTCCTTAGGTAAGGAAAACAGGACTAAATGGGAATGTGGAATTCAAAACACAAACAAATGAGCCATGACCTTATTGAATGAGTACAGGTTCCAGAGCCAAATGGTCAATTCATGTTTCTAATTTATATTTTCATGTGTACGTTCACATTTAGAATAACCTGTGGGTCTAGTTAGTTCCTCTACATATTGTTCCAGAAAGTTATCTGAAATGTATTCCATCCTGTAAGCTATTTCTGCCAATGCCTAATTGGTTTTCCCAGACTATTTGGGCATTAAAGTCCCCCAGGATTAATATATTATCCTTGTGATATGCTCTTCTAATTTGCAGATTTAGAATCTATTTTATATAATGGTTAGTTAGGGGCAACCAATGGGGTTTGTTTTTTGCACTTTATTGCTTCCTAGATGCCCCCTACTGATTCTACATCCTAATTTTCTGGGCTAAGATCCTCTCTCTATATAGTCTTTATCTTATTTATTAACACGATTACCCTACACCCCAGCATTTTTCTCTCTTTTTTTTAAAATCACGTACCTTGCAAGATCCAGCAGTTGGAGTCTTAACCAACACAAAGGAAGATGAAAGGGTGGTTGGGGTTCTTGGTGGCTCCCCTCTTCCACCTTTTTTTCCTTTTCTTATTTCCCTGCCCGTTCACTCCATTTTCCCGACTATTTGTCTGATGAAAGGTCCTCATGTCTTTCCTCTGTTTCCAACCCCTATAAAAGTTAACTCACTCACCAATTGTTCACCAGCACTTGCTGTATTCATTTCCGAGTTCCTGCACGGGTATTCACTTTCTTCTGATGTTGCTCCAGTGCGAGATATTGAGATTGGTGTTAAACCCATGTGGGTGGTCAGCTGAGGTGTACATGATGCCTGCCCACACCTGCTCTGTGCCTCCTCATTCCAATCCACCTCCCACAGCCCTTCTGAGAAAGAAAGGGCAGTGCCAGTACTCAGCCTCGCTACTGTTTTAATAAAGAGGACACAGGGAGGGAGGGTTACATCTCACTGTGCGCTGCACTGGAGTCTCTGAAACACCCAAAAGTGCTGGGATTGCTGCTACATTAGCCAGACAGGAACTGCCATCAGACAACAGAAGAAGAACCAGTTGACAAACAAAAGGCAGAGAGAAGTGATTTGTGTGAAATAATCTGGGATTAAAGAGGAGGCAATAAAGGACCTGCAATGGAACATTTAACAGCGGCATTAGAGAGAAGTTATTGGGGATTCAGAAGCAGCACAGAGGATCACTCGGCTGAAGTGAGATGGCATTTTTTTTAACCCTTCATCCACACATTTATTACATAATCGTGTTTCATATCAGAGAAATGCAGCAATTAACTCGAGTCTTAATTCCAGGCCAGTGCTCTGGGTTGCTTATCTTCAGAGCATGTTCAGTGCGAGTCGGCACCAACTCCATAGTCCCGTGGCTTTCGCTGGTTTGACCCCAGATGCAGGAACAAGGGCAGATTCCTTGGCGGATTACTGTATCTGGCTATTTCTGGGTCTTGGGGGTCTTGGGCACCTTGGTGTCCGTTCCGAATGAGGAAATGACAGAAACGGAATACCCTGGGAGGACTGGAAAGGGTTCAGGGGTGTTTATAAGCAGAGAGGGTATAGAAATTGAGAGTTTGTCAGTGATCTGCTGGAATAGGGCATTTCCTATTTAAGGCATCTGGACGTTTGTTCAGAAAGTAAACAGTTTAGAGAGAGTTTATTAACTGGATACACGGGGTTGGAGGGGGTGAGGTGGGTTACCTCCTAGACAACCCCAAGTTAATGCGAAAGGAAACAGCAGATTGGCACCAACCGCAATGACTATTGGTACGGTATTGGTATTTGTTACACTGAGAATCGGCATTGAGATATTTACATTGTTGAAAAAGTTATAAAATACCAGGACGAATTGTAAAAATCGTGCGAAGTTTCTAAGTATGGATTTGAATATTATTTCTTTTATTTCGCTCTCTATTGGCAGAGTCTTAACCAGTTCGAGAGTTGGTGTCAAGTTTCCTCGCCCACTCGGAAAAGGTTGTCTTCATAATCCATTGCATTAAAAAAAACAATAAATAGTTAGGCAACTAGCTTATCAGTATCTTACAAGCGCCAGCGCATTTCCAATGAGAATTTAACCATTACCCCTCAATGTTCAATGACATTGCCATCCCTGAATCACCCCCCATCACCACCTTGGGGCAGTGATTAGATTGTGTCTTATTGGAGATGGTCATTGCCTGGCATTTGTGTGGCGTGAATGTTACTTGCCACTTGTCAGCTCAAACCTGGACATTGTCCAGATCATGTTGCATTTAAGTATGGATTGCTTCAATATCTGAGGAGTTCCTAATAGTGCTGAACACTGTGTGATTATCCTGTGTGATTATCCACAATTGATGATTATCCCCACTTCTGACCTTATGACGGGGGGAAGGCCTTGATAGAGTAGCTGAAGATGATGGGGGGCCTAGGACACTACCCTGAGGAACTCCTGCCGAGATACTTTGGATCTGACCTCCACAATCACAATGATCTTACTATGTTCCAAGTATGAGTTTACCCCAATACCCATTGATTCCATTTTTCCTAAGAGTCTTTGATGCTGCACTCAGTTGAATGCAGCCTTGATGTCAAGGTCTGTCACTCTCACCTCACCTCACCTCTGGAATTCAGCTCTTTGGTCCATGTTTGGATCAAGGCTGTAATGGGGTCAGAAGCTGAATGGCCCTGGCAGAACCCAAATTGTGTATCACAAGGCAGATTATTGCTAAGCAGATGCTGATTAATAGCATAGATGATGACACTTTCCACCATGTTACTGACGATTGAGAGTAGACTAATGGGGTGGTAGTTGGTTGGGTTGGATTTGTCCTGCTTTTTATATACATGATGTAGCTGGACGATTTTCCATATTGTTGGGTAGATGCCAGTGTTGTAACTGTGTTGGATCAGCTTGGCTAGGGCAGCAGCAAGTCTGGACCACAAGTCTTCAGTACTATTGCTGGACTGTTGTCAGGACCCATAGCCTTTGCAGCATCCAGTGCCTCCAATCGTTTCTTGATATCACGTGGAGTGAATCGAATTGGCTGAAGACTAGTATCTGTAATGCTGGGGACCAGTGGAGGAGGCTGAGATGGATCATCTACTTGACACTTCTGGCTGAAGATTTCTGCGAATGCTTCAGCCTTATCGTTTGCACTGATGTGTCGGGCTCTTCCCATATTGAGGATGGAGATTTTTTGTGGAGTCTCCTCCTTCAGTGAGTTGTACAATTGTTCACCACCATTCACGACTGATATGGCAGGACTACTGAGCTTAGACCTGATCTGTTGGTTGTAGAATCATTTAGTTCTGTGTATCACTTGCTGCATATGGCATTTGGCATGCAAGTAGTCCTGTTTAGTAGCTTCACCAGGTTGATACCTCATTTTTAGGTATGTGTGGTGCTGCTCCTGCCATGCTGTCCTGCACTCTCAGTTGAACCACAGAGTCATAGAGTCACACTGCGTGGAAACAGACCCTTCGGTCCAACCAATCCATGCTGAACATAATCCCAACCTAAACTGCTCCTGGCTTGCTCCTGGCTCATATCTCTCCAAATCCTTCCTATTCACATACTTATCCAAATGTCTTTTAAACACTGTAATTGTACCCACATCTACCACTTCCTGAGGAAGTTCATTCCACATGAGAACCACCCTCTGTGTAAAAAAATTGCCCCTCATGTCTTTTTTTAAATATCTCTCCTCTCACCTTAAAAATGTGCCCCTCTAGTTTTGAAATCTCCCATCCTAGGGAAAAGACAACTGCCATTAACTCTATCTATATCCCTCATTATCTTATAAACTTCCAGTAAGTTGCCTCTCAACCTCCTATGCTCCAGTTAAAAATGTCCCAGCCTATCTAGCTTTTCTTTATAACTTCCATACCCAGCAACATCCTGGTAAATCTCTTCTGAATGCTCTCCAGCTTTTAATGGTTGACTGGGGAGAATGCTGGGCCATGAGGTGGCAGATTGTGCTGGAGTGCAATTCTGCTGCTGTTGATGGTTCACAAAGCCTTATGGATGCTCAGTCTTGAGTTGCTAGCTCTGTTTGAAATCTGTCCCATTTAGCACAGTGATTGTGCCACTCAACACAATGGAGGGTATTCTCAATGTGAAGGTAGGACCTTGTCTCCGCAAGGACTGTTCACTGGTCAGTCTTAACGATACTGTCATGGACAGATGCATCTGCAGCCAATGAAGATTAGGTCAAGATGTTTTTCCCTCTTGTTGGTTCCCCCACCACCTGCTACAGAATCAGTCTAGCAGCTATGTCCTTTAGGACACAACCAGCTCAATCAGTAGTACTGCTACTGAACTACTCTTGATGGTGGATGTTGAAATCCCCCACCCAGAGTATATTTTTCACCTCAGCCACACTCAGCACTTCCTCCAAGTGTTGTTCAACATGGAGGAATATCGATTCACCAGCTGAGAGAGCATGGTATGTGGTAATCAGCAGGATGTTTCCTTGTCCATGTTTTAACTGAAGCCATGAGACGTCATGAGATCCAGGGTCAACGTTGAGAATCCCAGGGCAGCTCCCTCCCAACTGTATACCTCTGTCCTGCCATCTTTACTGGGACTGTCCTGCCTTGGATGTTGTCTGCAAGGCATGATTCGATGAGTATGACTATAATCGGGTAGTTGCTTGACTACTCAATTTTGGCACTAGCCCCACAGTTGTTAATACGGACGACTTTGTAAGGTCAAATAAGGGTGTTTTTGCCATTGTCATTTCCATGCCTAGGTCAATGCCAGATGACCCATCTGGTTTAATTTCTTTGTTGAGACTTCATAGTGTTTGATAAGGGCAGTTGAGAATCAACCATATTGCTGTGGGTCTGGAATCGCATGTAGGCTAGACCAGGTGAGGATGGCAGATTTCCTTTCCTGAAGGATGTTAGTGAACCAGATGGACTTTTCTGATAATTGACAACAGTTTCATGGTCATCAGCAGAATCTTAATTCTTAACGTATGTTGTATAGTGCCCTGTCTGAACTCTATTTGCTGAAGAAATCATCAAATCCATGTGAAAAATGTTGGTTTACAATAGAATGGTGGAAAGCAATGTTTTGGAAAGGTTAGTGTCTAGTACAACTGGTGACTTTAGAGAATTAACGTTCTTTAATTAGTTACCTGACAGTCTGATGTGGTAGATATTTTGATCCAATGCCCGATGGTGTTGCTGCTTTACATACCTTTAAAAGAGCTTGTTTATTTGTGGGAGTTTTTACCAAGTATTTTGGTCTGCTTTGCAAGTATTGGTGTCACTTTTTTAAATTAGTCTTCTGTGAAATGTCTTGGGATGGGATTTTATTATGCTAAATGTGCTATCTATATTCAAGTTTTTGTTGTTGACTGCCCTTATCTCAATGCTTGCAATCTGGACCCCAAAAAGCAATTTGGGTTAATTTGAAAGAGTTAAGTTGATGATTGAGTTGCAGTTTAATGAATTATGAAAGATCGTGAGCAACGCTTTGAAATCTTCATCCATTATATTTAGTAAATTGGTTTGAGAAATTGAATGGAATGTTCTCTTTGTGCTTATCTGTTGAGTCATTGTAAATTTGATTCTGTTCCTTCACAGTTCTATGTGGCACTGCGGTGGATTCAGTTTATTATGGTGGTTTTGAGGTTGGTTTTTTAAAATATTTTTTAACATTTTTATCCATCCAATTTTCTCGTCTCTTTCCCCATAAGGTGTGATTTCTTTCTGAAGTTCTCTTCCACACATGATAGCAATCTCTCATTTGACAGTGTCAAAAACCAGGAGATACTGATCTAAGGTGAATGGTTAAAAAAAAGTGAAATGAGGAAATTTTTTTCTTTATTCAGTTTGTGTTTATGACTTGGAATGCATCACTTGAGAATGTGATGGAGGCAGATTATCAAATGTTATTTTGAAAGCCACAGTTTAGTTAGTTGAAGAGAAATATAATGTAGGGCTATGATGAAAAGTCAGGGGAGCGAGACTGGCTGAGTTCTCGAGCCTACCCTGGACATGTGGAGACAAATGGCCATTTTATGAATCTGGATAATCTGTAAACTATTCAACTCTGGAAAGCACTGAAGAGTGTTCAGAATCTGGAATGGGGACAGTACTTTTTCACTAATCCTAAATCATCTGCACTAAGAGCAGACACAGTATTCCTATTGTATCAGAGATAGTAGGAACTGCAGATGCTGGAGAATCTGAGATAACAAGGTGTAGAGCTGGATGAACACAGCAGGCCAAGCAGCATCGTAGGAGCAGGAAGGCTGACGTTTCAGGCCTGGACCCTTCATCAGAAATGGGGGAGGGGAAGGGGCTGTGTTGACCAGAAAGCATGGTAAAGTTATTCAGTCCATTGTATCTGAGACTGGGTTAGGTTTTACACAAACATGATCAAACCTGGGATCTTCCTGGTCTTTATAAGAGTTCCATAATAGCCAGTGTTTGTTTTCACACCTAAACATTGGGTGAAATTCCTAAATTAATGCTTTGTTGCTTTTGAAGAGTGCTGTACAGTGACTTACAGAATGAATCTATTTAATTTTCATTTCCTAATTACTTTTCGCTCTTTCAAGGAGGATCTTTGCTGCCTATAGTTCCGTGGAATACATGTATCCTTTGTATCTTGCCAAAGCAATTCAACTATTACTTCTATTTAAGCATTAATGATATTGCAGGTCTCATATTGGGATTTTACCTTGATGATTCAGACATTTCCAGTTGTCATCTCTACATGCCAGTCACGAGCAATCAGCAGATATTCAGTCCTATAACTCGAGATAGCGTCCCTCATCCCACCTCGGTGAGAATCAGTTAATTCAGCACAAGTAAGGGAGTGAACTTTGTTTTGCACAATGTAACTATTCACTTGCTAACTTGACTGCACCATCAAAGGATGAGTACCGGAGGTTGTCATAGGGAAATAATTTTTTTAATTGTTCAAGCAATGTGAGTGTTGCTGGCTAGGCAATCCCTAGTTGCTGGGGGGCAGGGGGTGGTGGGGGTGGTGGCGTTAAGAGTCATTCACATTGCTGTGGGCCTGGAGTTGCATAAAGACCAGATCAGGTTTTCTTCCCTAAAGGACATTAATGAACCAGATGGGCTTTTAAAATCATGGTTATACATTTGCCATTAGGCTAGTTTTGATCCCAGAGTTTTATTGAATTCAAATTTCACTATCTGCCATGGTTGGACTCAAACCCAAATCCCCAGAACCATAGTCTGAAATTCTAGATTACTTGTTCAATAACCTTACAACTATGCCATTGCCACCACTCAGCAAACATCCAGTGGTTCTCTTCAGAGATGAGGGACAGTGTGATTATATGATTCTATAAATTTCATCAACTCAGAGTTTAGATGGTCAATGTTATAGATTTGTTTGTGAACTGTAATTCCAATATTACCCAACCTGTTTATAACTCTCTCTGTCTTCCTCTCAATCTATTTCATCATTTCTCTGTTTTGGTTTTACAATATTGTAGATTCATTCTGTTTATGTTTTCTTTGTTGTGTGTTCTCACAATTAGGCTATCATGCTCTCTTTGTATCTAACTACACTGTAAGTTGGCCCCATTCCTCACCTCTCTTTCTGTGAATTGATTTTTAAGTTGTGTGTGTTCTATCTCTCTCTCTCAGTATTGTCGGTTCAGGCTCCATCATTGGATATGCAGCATTGCAGCAGTTGGCGAGGCATGCAGAGGTAAGGGAACATTCCAAATTTCCAGGGTTGCTCAAGTGTATTCAATTCCTGAGTAGCTAGCCTATTATATGGCAAAGACAACAAATTTTCTCTTGCAACCACTGTGTCATACAATAGTCCTCTCCCAAAAGACAGAAATCATTCTGGTATGATATCCCATTGGGAAAGGCCTGCCTGAAGCATCTCTCTGAAGTCTATTCAAACATGGTGGGTGTGCAAAAACCAAGCCAGATTGTGCTCACAAAATGTACACTTGCGTTGTGTCAGTGATAAAAATCAGGAGCAGTCCCCTGTCCAGTATCCAAATTTCCAATCCATAACTGTTTAGGAGTTTGGAATAGTATTACCCAAATTCGGAACATCTAATATGACTAGTTTAGATTACTGTTTAACACTCAGGAGTACCTTTCACTCCTGACCTAACATTAAAACTTCTATCAGCTTCCATTCAACAATTCCAAGTTTGAAATACACGACATTATTTCTGGGTGTCAAAGTTAGCAGAATTCTTGGCTGTTTGAGCAGAGAGACTATCTTTAATTTTGGATTATTGTGTCTTCATGTAATCTCTATTGTATGAATACTTGTTTTAATAATTCCTGTGTGAATTTTGTATACAACAAAACGAGGAATGTTTAATATCAGAAAGAACAGAGAAAAACTTGTATTTAAGTAGTGCCTCTCATGACCGCAGGACATCTTAAAGCACTGTACAGCTAAAACAGAACTTTGGAAATGCATTAATTGTTGTAATGTAGGAAATGCAGTGGCCAAGCTGCACATTACAATCTTCCATTAACAGGAATATAACAATGATGAGATAATCTATTTTTTCTAATTTGACTGAGGGATAATAGGGTTGGGACATGAGAGATACTTGCCCTATTCTTCTTAAATAGAGGGCTACAGTGCTGTGCTGGCGTGTTAACCCTGATTTTCCTGCTCCACCTACAACTTTGTGACCCAGAGGCAAAACTGCAACCAGTTCAGCCTCAGCATACAATGATGTTGGGCAATTTCTATGTCAGGTACCCAGATCAGTGTGCCAGTTATAAGGGAAAAGAATCAAAGCACAAAGGTGCCCACAGTTAGAAATTATGCCAGCTATGTCAAGAGAACCCCTATTACTGTTACTCACCAACTTTGTCAGTGGTTTGGAGAGTGATTAACTAACGTCTCTAATCAAAAAAGTTCAGAGGTCCCAGTGTCCTGAAGGTGGACAGAAAAGAGCCTACCACATTAGAGAAGAATTTGTCAAGAGCAGCTATTGTTTTGTTTTGATCAGCAAACTACGGGCCACTGATTCTGACTCCTTGGTTTTTCAGATTCGCCCATTATTCTACCTGAGTTTGTCTGACCTGTTGTTGGGGTTTTGTTGGCTGATCAGTGTTTCACTCTACAGGGAGTCCCTCAGAGCTGGGAGCATGACCTGCTACAATCTCCAAGTGATAGGACAGGTAAGCATTCACAAGGGCTGGAGAAGAGGGACAGGGCGTGAGGTAGTAAATTCAATTAAGGGAACCAATGGTTATGGGGAAAACAGAGGAAAGTAAAGTTGAAGATTATCAGATCAGTCACGATCTCATTGAATGATAGAACACACTCGATGGGCTGACTGGCCAACCTTTGCTTCTATATCTTAAATGAGGGAAGAAGATTATGAAAGGAGCGTTGAAAATTCCCATAAAATGTGCCAGAGAGAATTTAAATCATCATTAAAGCAGGTTTAGTCATTTCATATGTGAACCTTTGTTTCTAACTTTCTTCAATATTTTCCCTACTCCAGATTCTTTATGGAATTTTGTCCTAAAGTCACTCTCATGTACATCAACCAAGTTGCTGTTCTTGTGTAAATTTAGACAACTGAATGTCCACAGGATATATGATAGTCGTTACATTTCAGCTAAGCCAAATCCATCCATGCCCAATTACCAAACTGTTGACAGCGGCATGGTGGCTCAGTGGTTAGCAATGCTGCCTCACAGCGCCTGGGACCCAGGTTTGATTTCAGCCTTGGGCAACTTAACGTGTGGAGTTTGCACATTCTCCTTGTGTGTGCGTGAGTTTCCTCTGGGTGCTCCAGGATTTATTCCTGCAATCCAAAGATGTGCAGGTTTGGTGGATTGGCTATGCTAAATTGCCCTAGTGTCCAGGGATGTATAGGTTATGTGGGTTAGCTATGGGAAAAACAGAGTTACAAGGATAGGGTAGGGAGTGGGGTCTGTGCGGGATGCTCTTCAGAGGGTAGATGTGGACTTGATGGGCCAAATGGCCCGCTTCCACACTGTAGGGATTCTATGATGTTATAAATGACACTTCCTGATGTGAGTTGCTGCATAATGATCGGGTGGAAGAACTCTAGATAGTGTTTCCATTCCTATTGCCATTGTATTGACTATATTGTCAACCCACCTGAGATCTCACTGAGCTCCAATAGCATTCCAAGGGATCAGTATGTTGTAGGTTCATAACTGCACTTCCTCACATTTCTTGGTCCTGATAACATTCCTCCAGACTGGCAGAGAGAGTACTGTACACCTCAAAGAACAAAAATCATGGAAGATTGGGACTAACCTGGGAAATGTTCAGAAGAACAGCTCAAAAGAAGGACAGAAAACTGAGACAAACCATAAAATATTATGTTTAACCTTCATGAATAGACAAGAAAACAAACCTCTGTGTGTGAGCACTTGTTGTACAGGGAAAAATGTGTAAATAAAGCAGAAATTGGAATGGAAGATGGTCTGTACACTCACACATATAGTGGTTAGGAACTGGAATAGATGTCAATGTGAATTTCCCAGCAATGGATACTGCATGGTCTCCCAGTTTTTTGTTTTGTTTTTTGCACATATTAATCAGCAAAAGATTGGGTTTAGAATAATTATGTCAAACCAGAGTTAAAAAACTTTCCTTTCACTTTTTCCCCCAGTTACCACCTGTTTCCTGAAGCACCCACTATTCTTGAGGTACAGTTTGCAGATACCAGCAGCGCTCCCAGAAATGCCAAGATTGGGTGTCAACCAGGTCAACTCTTTGACCATTATTTGAAACAGTGGGCCAGGGAGTAAGTGCCTCTGGCCAAGTTGTTAATTGGCATCCACGTTGTTCCCAATTCAAGGAAGTCATCCAGAGAATCTCTACTGGCTGGACTGGCTCTTATACATGGAATTGCCTTGAATGTACAGCACAAGTCACAGGAGATGTGTCTCACTGGTTCAGGCTGGTGTTTCCGCTCCATATGAGTATCTTCCCACTCCACCTCCTACAACCATACCAACAAAGCCTTCTATTTCTTTCTCCCTCATTTGCTTATCTAGTTTCTAGTTGCTCTCTGCGTTAAAGAGTTTCTCTTCAATTCCCTGTTAGAATAATTAGTCTACCTGATATTTATGGCAGTTGGTTTTGGTCTCCCCCACAAATGGAAACATCTATATCAGAACTTCCAATACCAAAACAGCAACTAGGCGATGAGGCAATAAATAACTTCCTGTTGTTGTAATGCTGCATAATCTGTATTACAGGTGCTATACCTCACATCTTTTTGCTACACCTTGAACTATACCTGGTGCCTGTACAGGGATCTGAAGTCAAGGATTCATGCGATGATGAACACTACATCTCGCCTGGTGAGTGGTTCTCAAAATTACTGCCAGTGAGAGCAGGGATCTTTCTTTCCATAACCCCCCACTCCAATGATTCCCAAACCTTTTCCTACTCTGATCCCATTTTGAAGCAAGTAAATTGTCATAACCTGGAAGTGAGAATTGTGAGGAGACCTTTGGGAGTTGGGGTACATTCTGTGTAAATGGGGGCCAGTCTGTTAGTGCCGGATATGGTTGTTATAACTCAAGTCAAACTTCATGGTGACCATTGCTGCCTTGGAACTCAATACAAAATCTGAGTTTGCAACCTCACTTAGACATGTGACACCCATTTGGGAAGCCCTACTCTATCCAATTTGTATCATTATGTTTGAAATATTAATTCTATTTTTATGACGGTGAACTTTTACAGATGGGCTTCAAACTGTTGATTCCCCTCTGCTCTCTAAAAGCACTGACTTACACCTGAATGCAACTGCCCATGGGTAACTCCCCGTTGGCGATCGCTATTTGTGTGCGAGCCTGGCACTTGCTATTCAACTGTGGGGATCATCAGCTCAGACAGATTCACATATGTACACTACCCAATAATGATCACAAGCACTATCCAGCTCCAGAAGCCACTCGTAACTCCCCTATTGAGAGCCAGGCCAGCTAACATTGTAGACCAGGGATCAAATCTAAAAACCTCTTCATTCACAGGGTTCCGTCCACTCCTTTCTTTGGCACATTCTTTGGCGCTTAGCAAATGACAATTCTCTTTCACATCATTTTATTTTTATTTCCATCTGTGATGAAATTTCTGGCAGCTGTGTTATTACCTCATCTTCTGAAACAGAAGCATAAAATACTGGAAACACTCAGTTCATCATGGAAGGAACGATAAACAGGAAGTGCTACACCTGCCCCTGCACCTCCCCCCTCACCTCCATCCAAGGCACCAAGCAAACCTTTCACATCAGATAGAGGTTCACCAGCATGTCCGTCAATGTGGTCCACTGCATCCGTTGCTCCCGATGTGGCATCCTCTACATCGGTGAGACCAAGCGGAGGCTCGGAGACTGCTTTATGGAGCACCTACGCTCTGTACGCAAAAAACGACAGCACCTTCTGTTCGCGAACCATTTCAACTCCCATTCCCTGGGTGACATGTCCATCCTGGCCCTCCTCCAGTGTCACAATGATGCCACCCAGAAACTGGAGGTGCAGCACTTCATATTCCTCCTCGGGAGCCTACAGCCCAATGGCCTAAATGTGGATTTTACCAGTTTCAAAATCTCCCCATCCCATGACCAACCCTCCCTGTCATCCCTGCCTCCTTGACCTGACACAACCTGTTCAACTTCTCTCCCACCTATCCGCTCCTCTCACCTCACTAACCAATCCCCATCACTCCCTACCTGCACTCACCTATCACCATCCTGCCTACCTTCCCCAGCCCCACCCCTCCTCTATTTATTTCTGAGCTCCCTTTAGTCCCAACCTAAAATGTCAACTTTCCTGCTCCTTTGATGCTGCCTGGTTTGTTGTGTTCCTCCAATTCCACACTGTGTTATCTCCTACCTGTTTTAAGTCTGGTATTTGGAAATATAGGACAGAGAAAGTAATTAAAGTCTACCCTTATATTCAATTCAGTACTTGTGTCCCTCTCCATAAATGTATTTTTAAAAACATTTTATCAGCATCAGTTCAATGTCAGGAAAATCAGTCTAAAGCATATATCTTGTTAATGTTGTGGTGGGATTATAGCGGTATGTTCCTGATGAAGCATTTGCACCTGTACAGCAGGATGGGCTGAGCAACTTCCTTTGGATCTATGCATTTTATGATTACAGCACCGATGCTGTAGTGTATCTTAGTTACATTTAATGCTACAATGACAAGTATGATTGGAACAGTTTGTAAAGTTAAATAGCAGGGGATATATTTTGTTACTTCCCTGCCCTCCTCTCCTAAAGATACTAATTTTATTTCATGGTAAACCTGCACCATCTCTGGCACCACACCCAGAAGACCACCCAATGAATGCATCTTGTAGGCTATTCAACTGGGAAATAAGCTTCTAAAACAATTGTGATCCTGTTACATTCAGATGTCTACAATCATGCTCTTTTCCAGTAGGGTTCACTGGCCGTTGGTGATGAGGAGTGGGATCCCCAGATAAATTTCTCCTCCTTTAATGTGATCTTTTAAAATTATTATAGTTCCCCATATACCAGTGCTGAAATGAACTAAAGCAACACAGGGAGAAATCAAACACCTCTTCCTAGTCAGAGAGGCACAGTGCCTAAGAAATTGAAGTAGGCCGCTCAGCCTTTCAAACTGCTGTACTGTTCAATAACATCATGGTTGATATCCTACCACAACAGGTAATGTCCAATCAAGAGAAGTTAATTCTGTTTTGCTGCAGCTGCCTGGACAACGTAATGAACTATTACTGTTCTTAATTTTATGCTTTTATGTTGAAATTTTATCATGTTTCTTGCATTATAAAATTTTGAAAGTGATAGCTTTTTAAAAACTTGACAATTGACTTGGTTGATGTGTTGATTTGTGATCTTGTTTTTATTCTGTTTTGAGAAGCTAACTGAAAGCAATGGCAGACTGAGCAGGATCATATTAATCTTGTTCAGGTAATGTGTACATTCTTTGTTTTTTCTATTTATCCTTGTCTTTGACTATACTGACTCTCTTCTGAAATTCAAGGGTTTCAACCACTTCTCTAAAGTGCCTGTTCCCCATGTGCGGTATTTACTTCTGAAGGACACTCCCCAATCTTGTTCTCACCAAGTGCCCATACATTTTGACTTTTTTCACCAGGAGTCACTGCTTTGTGTTTCTCCTCTTAGGTTGACAAAGTGGTTGTCCTGGATGTTATAAACAGGGGCACAAGAGTACAAAAGCAAGGAAGTTAGGAAAAAACATTAATTCAAGCTCAACTGGAGTACTGTGTCAAATACTGGGCACCAGTCTTTAGGACAAATATGAAGGCATTGGAGAGGGTACAGAAAATAATTCCAAGAACAGTTCCAGGGTGAGGAATTCTCACTTATGTGTATAGATTGGAGAAGCTGGGGTAGTTCTCCAAAGGTATGGCTGACAGGAGATCAAAATCATGAAGAGGCTTGGATAGAGTAGATGGAGAGAAACTGTACCCATTGGTGGAAAGATTAAAAACCAGAGGACACAGATTCAAGGTGAATGGTAAAAAGAATTGGACATGACACAAGAAAAATTATTTTTTTAATGCATTGATTGAATAGGATCAGGGATGCAGTGAGATTGTGGTGGAAGCAGATTCAGTTATTGCTTTCCAAAAAGAATTGGATAATTACCTGAAGAGAGAAGATCTGCAGGGCTATGGAAGAAAATCAAGGCACAAGGCTAGCTGACAGTGGTCTCACAGACAGCCTGCACAGACATGATCAGATGAATGACCCTAGAACCATCGGAGATATCTGCATTCCTCTAATTCTGGCCTCTTAAACATCTCTGATTTTTAGCACTCCAGAACTGGTGGCCATACCTTTTAGCTGCTCAGAATCTAGCCATAGAGTCATAGAGATAAACAGCATGGAAACAGACCAGTCGGTCCAACTCGTCCATAATGACTAAATATCCAAAATAAATCTAGTCCCATTTGCCAGCATTTGGCCCATAGCCCTCTATGCATATACCCATCCAGATGACTTTTAAATGTTGTAATTGTACCAACCTCCACCACTTCCTCTGGCAGCTCGTTCCATACACACACTACCCTCTGTGTGAAAAAATTGCCCCTTAGGTCCCTTTTAAATCTTTCCCCTCTCACCATAAACCTATGCCCTCTAGTTTTGGACTCCCCAACCCCAGGGAAAAGACCTTGACTATTCATCCTCTCCATGCCCCTCATGATTTTATAAACCTCTAATAAGGTCACCCCTCAGCTTCCAACACTCCAGGGAAAATAGTCCCAGTCTATTCTGCCTCTCCCTGTAGCCCTGGAATTCTCTTCGAAAAGCTCTCTGCTTTTCTACTTCTGCATCTTCCTTTAAGTTGCTCTAAAAATCCAAGTTTTCGTTCACCTCTTCCGATTTTTTTTATATAGTTTGTTGTGAAATGTTTGACAGTTTACTTGCCTGAAGGACTTCGGGGCATTTTATGTTTAACATTTTCAAAACTTTGACCACTAGATGGGGCTGTAGGTTAAGTGTTGCAGAACTCTAGATGAAGCTCTCTCCACATCTCAACATTGTGCCTCATATAATAGAGATTGTGATATCGTTGGAATATCACCTGCTATTGTTGCAGCAGCAAACGCGACATTTGCCTCAGGCGGAACCTGCTGCAATGAACAACATGGGTCAAATAGTCTGGTTTCTGAGTAAGATGAAAATTTCAAAAATATGAATGGGACATAGCAAACGCCTTCTGAAATATAAATTCATTCTCCCCACATACATTTGTTTCTCCTGATCTGTCGATGAAGAATATTAGAGATACCAAGAATAATATCAAGTCGCTAACTATAATTACCTTCCCCATACCTCTTTCCCATTTACTATCCGTTTCATACTTGGGGGAAGGTAGCAGACTCAATTGGGAACATGTGTAATTTGTACTGAAATTTATGGAGGCTATTACCTTCCAAGAGGAAGCTGCCTGAAGGTTATTTTGGTTAGGAGCCTTACAGCTAGTTAGAGAGACTTTCAACTTATTAACATTGTCAAGATTTTCTCTTGCAGTTTGTTTCCTCTCATCCTGATGGTGCCTGTCTTTTATGTTGGCAATGGATATACTTGTTATGCTAACCTCAGCAATTCGTAAGTAATGTATACCTCAACGTGGTTGCCTTGTGGTTATATAAATAACTTGCAAAGTTCTGATGTCCCTTCCATATCCTCTTTATTATCACAACGGACAACATCTATCTCAACAACATAGTTTTGTTTTCTCCCCTGTGAATTTAATTGTTCCAACATTGTGCTCATATCTATAACTGCCTGGACCCTAAGTTGTGGAATTCCTTCTGTATACCGATCTCTCTCTTTTTCTCTCCTCCTTTAAGATGATCCTTAAATTCTACCTCTTGACCAAGCTTTTGTTACCTGACTGAATATTGTCTTAGAGATAGTAGGAACTGCAGATGCTGGAGAATCCGAGACAACAAGGTGCAGGGCTGGATGAACACAGCAGGCCAAGCAGCATCATAGGAGCAGAAAGGCTGACGTTTTGGGCCTAAACCCTTCATC